AAAAATATATATTAAAAATAGTGGTTTCTTTTACATTTGAAAAAGGAATTAGAATATTTTAAAATATTTCCTTTCTTAGTCTTAATCAGATGTCAATGTATTTGATTTTAAGATATTTTATAGAATTGTCTTCTACCAGTTTAATTCTGATCATAGTATACAGAAGAATATACGTCTTGAACTATGAACCCTGAGTAATATTACCTTCTCTTTTCAGATATACAGAAGCATATTCCATGCTACCAGTTGTTCAGGTAAGACTCTTAAGTGAACAGATATGAAAAAGTTAAAATAAACTCTAACTTGAACTCTTCAAGATTTAAACTTATATTACATTGCTGAGAAAATCACCCGGCTGTAACTACAGTAGCCATATCAACCTCTTGAAATGCCTTATGTTATTCCTAGTCTGGTTTATCATGCCCTTTTTTGGTGTTTGTCTCTGCATACTGAAAGAGATATGGCATACTGCACCTTCTGATGAGTAACGATACCATATTAACTACAGAATAATGTCAACATACTGAAAGAATAAAAAAATGCATTGCTTTTCAAAAAACATACACCCCAATGTGTCACCATCAAAAAAAAAAAAAAAAAAGAAAAAGCAGAGGCTTTTAAGAGGGTCAGAAAACAAAACACTTGTTAGCACCATGGCAGGAGTAGTTTCAAGGACTAGTATTTAGATTCAGCAGTGCAGGTTTACACCCCTGTAAGAGTAGAATCAGAAGAGTCTCCTCAAATCTTTCTAAAAATTAATAAACCCAGATGTTATTAGGAAGACATTTCATATCAAATTGAAGGCATCTTACCATTTTGTGTTTCAGAGAACACAGATGCTACCTTTAGCATGTCCCAGCAGCACCAGTGCCAGAATAGCATCTGGGCTGTACACAACCACCTACATAGCTATTTGAGTAATGAAATTAACTGCGCTGTCTTAGCAGAGAAGCAGTGTCAGCATATCTTTATACTTACCAGGGTAAAAAAAGCTATTAAAGTGAGAGGATTGCCAGACTGCTAGGGAATAATTATTTCTACAGTTGCATTCTTTTTTTCCTCTAATTGTCCTAATTTTCTTCTAGCTTTTATAACTCTGCAGGAGAACTGAATGAATTTGCCCTGAAGAAAATACTATCAGGCTGTAAGAAGGTATTTTATTTTTAAATCACTCAGATTTCAAGGGCTATTCAAGGCCTATTTGGGATACCTCTTGAATCAAGCTTTCCCACTCTCTCCCCCCACCTTTTTAAAAAGTTTTGTACCTAGGCCTTCACACTGCTGGTCAAGGTGGCTGCATCATCTTTTACCTGTACAATGAACAGATGAGGTTATTTTTGACTATGGTTTGCCTGCATATATGTCACAGCTTTATTTTTTCTTACTCATTTCTCAAGTAAATAGTTCAAGTACCTCAGAGGTGTTCCGATTTCTAGCTTAAGCTCAGTTGAGGTCAGGTCACTCATGTGGTTAAGCAGCACTTGACCAAAATAGAATTAGCTTTCTCCACAGAAGAAAGTTTCTCAAGGGGAAAGTTAAAAGACAAACAGCAAAATAACAGAACAAAGTTTGCAGAGTTTCAGCTTGAGCACAAGCTCAGAAAACAGGCCAGTTGAACACATGGTTTTGAAGGAAAGAAGGTTGTCATACTAGAGTTCAGCTTAAATGTTTAAGGGTTTCAAGTTAACTAGATGTTTGAAATATATACACAGCATGGAATAATTCAGATTTGTGACTTTGTACCAAATCATCTAACTTGCTTCATGACACACAGAGGTAGCATGATTCAACAGTAATAAATTTTCTTCTTCCTGCAGAATGTAATAGGATGGTACAAATTCAGACGTAACACAGACCAGACCATGACATTCCGGGAAAGACTTCTTCACAAGAATTTACAGTCATACCTATCAAACCAGGGCCTTGTATTCCTGTTACTAACCTCTAGTGTGATGACAGAAAGTTGTTCTACTTACAGACTGGAACATGCCTTACATCGGCCACAAGAAGGGTAATTAGTTTGTTCTCTGGTTTTAATGAAGAAGTAGCACAGATGTGCTATAATTTAAAACAGTTTGTTTTCCTTGTTGCAGCTGAATTACTGGTAACACTATTTTACTCTTGAAACTTACACATTAAGTAATCTTACTCCTTATATTGCTGGAGCCCAGTTGAAATCTTACCCTGGAGTTCTGTTCAGGGATTTGTATTTATAACTATCTGTAGTGCCAGTGTCAACATACAGACTAATTTATGTACATAAGTGATCAATTTACATTCTTGGTCAATTTAAATTTATGTATAGGACTTCAACTATGCATGGTGTTCATCCACAGGTATCACTGAAATATTTAAACTGGTGGTAACTTTGTTATCTTCAGAGACCTGCTGCCTATAGGCTAGGTGTAACAAACAAGTATCCCATTTTTGTGACACACATTTAGAAATAGAGAAAAAAGAAAAAGCTAGAGGCATTGCTCAGCTCTTGTTGCTCTTGCAGTTTGCCTTTAGCTGTAAGTAGTCATCTACATGTGATCTAATACATTTAGCAAGAACTGACTACACTGTAAAACTATCTGGGATGCTTGATCAAGAATGCTTGATGCTTGATCAAGAACCTTTAACTATGAGAGGCCTTTGGATGTTAATAAATCATGTTTCTGTACTTTTGCTTTTTAAGTCTTTTCCAGAAGGTTCCTTTGGTGGTTACCAACTTGGGTATGGCAGAGCAGCAAGGTTACAGAACAGTATCTGGTTCCTGTGTATCTTCAGGATTTGTGAGAGCAGTGAGACAACACAGGTATAATATATACCTTATTCACTGATAGCTGTAGCTTTCAGTTAATTATCTTCCTATGAAAGTATTTTCTTTAAAGTGCTTTTGCAAATGCTACAGTCATACCCTGCTTGCTTCCTTGACCTCTTTCCTGCAACTATTTACCTTTCTAAGGTACTTGGTGGAGTCCCATACTTTGCCACAGCACCTACTGTTGAAGCTCAGAATGCTGCTTTATTCATTCTGTCTCCTACTAAGGAAGCACTGGGATCATTAACTTGCAATTACACAGTTATCTTCTTGGTCCCCAGGTCAGAATTCTTTCATGAAGATGGATCCTTACAAGAGGTTCATAAGATAAATGAGATGTACACCACCTTGCAGGAGGAACTGAAGGTAAGTCAGGCATATCTGCCAATACAGTTACTTTCAGCAGTACTACAAAAACAAGTCAAGCAAAGATACACCCTCTTGCACTAAGTAAGAACTAAAGCTGTGCCTTTGAAAGATCAGGGAGTTGCATTTGTTATTAAGAGCTGTACATCAAGTTCTCAAAGCAGAAGACTTCACTTTGCACTTGATCAAGTACACTAACAAATCTACAAGCCCACTAAATTCTCACAGTAGGTTTATTTTGAAGGAATACTACCTGTAGTTTGTTACATCTCCTTTGCTTAGATGGATCGAATAAAATGTCTTGCACCTCATTCAACACAAGTTTTAAATTATCTCTAGAATCTGCCTCATTACTTAAGCTTTGCACTACTTCATGTCCAACTTATAAGTATCATTAAGGGTATTGCAACAAGGTTAAATTCAGCTTCTGTGAATACTGTTAATCCCACTGAACGCTCTTTTCCTTGCAGAAAATATGCTCTACAGTAGAAGTCAGTGAACGATCTGTAGAGAAACTCTTAGCAGAGGTGAGCCAATTGAAAGAAGAAATAAAGAGGAAAAAGCAACAAACTTGTTCAGGTAAGTTAAATAAATGTAATGCCAGTCTCAGTAAGACTTCCAAAGTTGGTTCGATTAGCAGAAGCACAAAACAGTAGTGGTAGTAGTGTGCAAGAGGGACTGCAACTCTAGAGTTTTTGTTTTTTTTTTCCCCCAGAAGTCAAAGACTACTCAGGAGAGCCAAAGGAGAATGTTCTCCTTTGTCAGGCACTGCAAACATTTTTCCCTAATTCTGGACTTCAGACATGTATTGTTTCCTTCAAAGGCCAACATGTATCAAAGAACTGCTGTAACATTGACCATAATATTAATGTCAAGGACAAACTGACTCTCATGGTAGAGGAAGGAGACTTCACTGAAACTGAAACAAGACACCTAATCAAGCGTAAAGTCAGAGGGACCACAACAGGATCAAAGTCATTCAAGAAATCCAGATCACTTCAGCTTCACCAAAAATTACTTCAAGACCAAGAAGACAGTGACCAGGAAAGGAAGCTTACACTGAGTAGCACGGAAACAGATGAGGATGTACTTGAAAAAAGAGACACAAATGAATACCCACACTCTCCTACTTTCTGATGCATTAAAGATTTGTCCAGACCCAGACCTTCCACCAAGAGCTACTGCCAACATATTTAAGTGACATATCAATTTATAGTGCATTTTTTCAAAACAGCTTTTTTTTTCCCCAGTGGATGAATCCCATTTGGCACAGTGACAAGTACAGATAACATTCCCTCATTTTGCCTTACAGAGCTATATCTGTATTCTCTCAGGGTTTAAAGACTATAGGAGCAGGATGTTAGCAGTCATATAACTGTACCACATACTGCCTCAGAGTAGTACAACTTGAAGGTGCTGTTGGAGAAGCAGTACTACCCTTCCCTCAGCAGAAGCTGAAGCAGGGAGCATCAAATGAATACAGGTAACATGCTTACCAGAACTATCTGTCTGCATAAACTGCCACAATTTAACTACTTTAATCTGTCTTTAGTACTTGTTTATTCCTCCCCTTTCCAATCCTGCAAAGGAAAGGACAGCCACCTGTAAGTGGAGGAAGTGGTCCATGCAGCTGCCAATTTCTGTTGTTGCCTTCATCTAGCATACTTCTGACAATATATTTTAGAGACTTGACACTTCATTAAAAAAAATAAGAATCAACTGTCATCCACCTTTCAGTCAGCAATGCATTATGCAAGTCAACCACATTTCCAGTAAACAAGCATATGATCATGAAAAGTAGTTTTATTGTTTATTTCTTTACAGTATATTACTCTGGATACTTAATATTACATATCTTGGGGTCTGTGAGAAATGCTGGGATCTTGAACATAACTGGCATAAATCCTGTAAAAAGATGGAGGTTTTTCTTAATAGAAAAGTAAGCTTGACTTACAAAACTGAAAAGCATAGTCATACTTACCAATTACTTGAGCTCTTTTAATGGCTTTTGTAATTTCCTTCTGCTTCTTGTTGCACAAGCCTAAAGAGATTAATTGTTTTCAGCCTCTTAAATCAACAAGAACCAAACCATTAGTTTAAAAAGTGAAAGGGATATTACTGGCAATTCCCTCTAGCTTTGCCCTGGTCCTCCGAGACAAATGCATGTGAGTTTGTACTGTTAAATGCAAAATGCATATAATTAAACGATATTTTCATTTCTCGAAGCAGGCTACTGACTCAGAGGAATACTCTTACAAAATGTATGGATTTGGTAGTAGTTACTTCTGGAAACACATAAGCATTAGTATTTAGTGATTTAGTATTTCACATACCTGTTATATGCCTGCCATAAATGCGGCCAGTATGTGGAGAAACAAACTGGGAAAGAAGCTACTTAAAAAGAAACACAAAGGCAGTTTAAGAACTCTTTTTAAGAGACCTTTAGTTTACTACTTGCATTCTGGTTTTTATTTTTTGATTTTTTTTTTTAAACTAGAGACAAGAAAAAGCATAGTTTAGAGCTACAGTATGTTCTATGCCATAGCATTTAAGTGGTATTAGAACCAAGGACTATTTGATAAATAAAGTTTTAACACCAGCACACAGGACTAGCAGATTGAACAGTTTATCACAACTACATTATTTAACCCTTATCTGCACACATTCTTGCTCTTAAGTTTTAAACCCCTACATATATGAATAAATTCTTCATTTTTCATCCTGATAGACTTCCTATACACACTTCAAATTTAGTAAACCAGTCACCATCATTTAAGGACAGAAATTTTTTAACTCACCTGCACATTCTTGTAGTCCACATTTATTCCACATAAGATACATCTTTCTGGAGGCTCTTTATAAGGGTTCTCCATTTGTATGGGCTGCAATTAAGAGAATTATTAACACCTGTAAGCTTCACAAGAAAGTAAGAAGTGTTTGTTATTTTTATTCTTTGAGCAAAACATGCCTTGAAACCAAGCAGTACTTAGTGCATCAGTGAATTTTTCAGTAACTTTTCTCTATTTCTCTTAAGACACTGACTGGTATCTAGCAATCCAAAAGACTTCCCACAGCTACACAGCTTTTTATGTATTAGTAATAATGATAATGTAACAAGCCAATTAAAGCAATTAATAAAATAGTGCTTACACCCTTTACTTTAGAAGGCAATATCTACAGAAGCTGGTAGTAAGGTAGTTCTGTCTGATAAGTCTGAAGAGACTTTTCTGAATATAAATTCAAAGCAAATGGCCTGAGGGAGCTCCTGTCTGCTCACACGCTTTAACAGAGAGATCCTCAAATACTTACTAAGCCCTGAAAGGCTCCTCAAGCTTCATAACAAGATACAAGTGACAGAAAAAAAATGCAGACATAGATAGAATTTGAGTAGAGAAATATTATCTTTAAAAGTTCTTGTTTGCACAGGACAATGCATTTTTACAACAATCACATGCAATGAATTCCCTTAAGTCTGTTTCATAGAATGGTTTGGGTTGGAAGGGACTTTAAAGACCATATAGTTCCAACCCCCCTGCCATGGGCAGGGACACCTTCCACTAGACCAGGTTGCTCAAAGCCCCCTTCAACCTGGCCTTGACTGCCAGGGATGGGGCAGCCTCAGCTTCACTGGGCAACCTGTGCCAGTGTCTCACCACCCTTGTAACAAAAGGTTTTTTCCTAATATGTAACTTAAATCTCTCCTGTCAGCTTAAAGCCATTCCCCTTGTCCTATTGCTACCTGCCCTTGTATGTCAGCTATATGCAAGAAATCACTTAGTGTTGCCACACGTTTTGCTCCGTATTTCTGCTACTGACACGGCTGACTTAGATGACCACAGCTAAGATTCTGGACTATAGGTCAATGGCATCTTCACTTGGAACACCTGGAGGCTTCCCTCAGCACTGGATTCCTGCTCTGTTGCACCCCGACTAACTGAATTCAGAGCTAACTTCGTTTGAAGCCCAAGTTACTTGAGTTCAGAGAAGTGTTTTAGGAGCCAGAGTTACGCGAAGACCAAATCACTTTCGGACACTTCCGCTGCCCGGCCTCAGCCCCTCCTGGCGAGGGCAGCAGCGGCCCGGACGCAGGCAGAGGCCACAGAGCTTACGGAGGAC